CGGAGCCCTGGCCCAGGCTGCCCAGGGAGGCTGTGGAGTCTCCTTCTCTGGAGATATTCCAGCCCCGCCTGGCCGCGGTGCTGTGCAGCCTGCTCTGGGTGACCCTGCTTGGGCAGGGGGTTGGGCTGGGTGACCCACAGAGGTCCCTGCCAACCTCGAACATTCTGTCATTCTGTGATCCTGTGGGAGAGGCACTGGACCGTCTCCCAGGCTCCGCAGCCCAAGCTGGCACGAGGGTCGGGATCACGGCAGTCTCCACGCCTGGGCTAAACCCACGCTTACCCGGCGCGAGGTGGGGGTGTGCAAACCGCTGCTCACGGGATGTAATCCTATTTGGATGGGTAAATGTTTACAAACCCCAGTTAATGGGGCTTGCCATTTACACAGCGAGGCAAATCCCCTGTTTCTCACTGCACACCCGCGTAAATGTCAGGTTTGCAGACATTTCTATTAAGGAAGGAAAAAAGAAACTCGGAGCGTTTGCACATCTGATGTAAACTGATTTGAAATCGCAGTTTACCCACATTTACATAATGTTTGCTGATTAATAAATTAGACACTTAGGAAATCAGGGGTAGTTCCATGTGAATCATTCTGCTCCACAAACAATGGGAGCAAGACGTCGCTTCGCCTGCGGAGCGGCTCATCACCTCGAAGTGTGGCTGCGTCCCCAGCCCTGCCGGGCAGGTGAGGTGGTGGGGGGGTCCCACAAAAAGCCCCCGTGGACCTGTTCCTCTTCCACGCTGGGGGCTGAGGCTGCGCAGCGAGACAGAATCGGTGTCTGGGTTCTGCCACGGCCGGTGCTCGGCGAGGCCCCACGCCAGCTCTGACCCAGCCCAGGAGCAGTGTGAAGCAGCCGGGTTGTGACAGCAGCGGTTTCCAAAGCCAACAGAAAGCAGATTTTTCCTCCCTTTGAGCTCTGTGTTCCTGTGGTTTGATAGCAGCAACCTGCCAGGTGGCCACGCTGAAGTCAGCCCAGGTGGGTCCGTGCTATAGACACGTCCGTGCCACGCTGCAAGGTGCGTCCTCTCCCACTGCAGACGTGTCCACACCACGCTGCAAGGTGCGTCCTCTCCCCACTACAGATGTGTCCACACCATGCTGCAAGGTGTGTCCTCTCCCACTGCAGATGTGCCCACGCCATGCTGCAAGGTGTGTCCTCTCCCACTGCAGAGGTGTCCACACGACACTGCAAGGTGCGTTCTCTCACCACTGCAGACACGTCCGTGCCACGCCGCACAGGCAGCCCCGCAGACACATCTGCCCCGTGTTGCAGACACAAACGCGCACTGCAGGCATGGTCGGCTCCTCTCGCAGTGCCCAGCTCCTGCCATCAGCATCCTGCATCCCACGCCCCAGGCCAGCAGCGTGCGTAGAGCACGTCGGGCTCAGTGCAGGTGCCCCGAAGTGCATTGCCCCCCCCAAGCCTCCCCTGCCCACCAGACCAGCCCCTCCGTACCTGATATCGTCTTCATTAGCAAAGATGATGACAGCCCGCGCGTGGGAGGTCTCCAGGAGGCGGCGGATGATCTTGTCGAACTCTCCCGGCTTGGGCTCCCGTGGGATCTTGACAGACTGGGCCACGCACACCCCCCCTGCGGCAGAGAGCCCGGCACTGAGAGACCCCCACACGTCCCCGTTCCCTGGGGACAGCCCCTCTTCCCAGGGCTCCTCAGCCCCCACGACACGCAAGCGGGGGTCTCCCCAGCTCACCTGCACCCCAGCCACAGTAAGGGGCTCAGCACCACACCATCTCCACAGCCCACTGTCCCCACAGCCCCCCCAGCCACCACCCAGTCCCCCGGGACACGTGCCCAAACTCTCCCCTTACACCTCCTCTCCCAGGTCGCTTCCTTCACCCCTCCTCTTCCTCACAGCTCAGCCCTCCCTCGCCACTCCTCCCTCCCATCCCGCATTGCCGTAGCTCATCTCTGCCTTCCACCCACTCCTCTCGCTACCTGTCGCTTCGAGCCAAAACCACATCACGCCCCGACAGGCACACGGTCCCATCCCGCAGCTCGGAGAGGGTTTTCCAGCCAGCTCCGAGCACCAACCGCTCCCCCAGCGCAGCACTGGGTTTTGCAAAGGGCTCTGCCCATGCACTCGTCAAATACTGGCAAAAACAGCCCATGGGAAGAGGAGACGAAGGGCTGCAGCCCCAGCACGAGTCCTTTGCCCCCGAGACAGCACCCTTGCCCTGCAAAGGGTTTTATTCCCATCCCTGCGGCACCGGCCAAGCTCCCAGCCCAGCTTTCCACAGAGTGATTGCAAAAGCAGCTAATAAAAATTAAAAGAGACAAGGGGAAGCTGGCAACTGGAAGAGTCCCCACACACGGCTGCTGGGCTCCCAGCCTCCAGCTCCGAAAAGCCAGAGCCCTTCTGCTCCTGCATTTTTGCAGATGCCAAGGAAAAGAGAGATGGGAGAGAAAATTAAACATTGCGGGACCTTCTGGATGTAATTGATGGTGTCAATTTGCATAGTAAATGACGTGGCTGATACCTTGCCTGCCACTAAATGATCCCCGCTTAAGCAAAGGTCAGAGTAATTAGCACAGGGTGGCAGGGAGAGATTTCCCAGCTTACGGCCCTGGAGAGGAGCAGGGGGAGGACAGGACAGGGACAGGCACCGAGGCAGAAGCCTCCGGGACACGAGGGGTCACTCCCTCCCACAGGGCCGAAGCAAAACTGGGGTAATTTGGCCCCTTGCAGCCTAATGCCAGAGAGAGGGGGGGATCTGACGGGTGCCGAGCACGCAGCGAGGGAGGTCCATCAAATGACAGGATGCTTTGGGTTGGAGGGACGGGGACAACAGCAGCCCCAGCAAACACTCGCCGGCCGGGGAGCATCGCCCGCTCCCCGCGCCCCGCAGCCCAGCCACGGAGAGCGGGGGGATGTCAGAGTTTTTTTTTCCCCTACGGTAAGACCGCCGGAGAGAACGGCTCCGGCTGAGGAGTCAGCGCGGCTTAATTACAGTTTCCATGGCAATAAAAGGAGAAAATCCAACAAAAGCAGCAGTTTGCAAACACGAGAGCCTTCCAAAAGCCCCGGCACGGTCGGGTGGGTGTGCGCACACGCGAGCGACAGAGCGGTGCTGGCACAAGCGCACACCGGGCACCAACACCACGAGGACCCCGTGCTGCCTGTGCTCCGCTCCGGGCTCGTGTGAGCACGGGAAGCCACACACCGTGACACATGTCCCACCACGACATGTACCCCTGAACACGTGTGCACCCGTGAGTGTGCAGCACACGGACACGGGGGTTCCAGGCATGCCCATGGCAGCTGCAGCATCGGCTGCTTCCCAGCACGGCCGGAGCAAACCCAGCTTCGAGACTTTCCTGGGACAGCAGCGAGGCTTTGCACTGGGGTCCTCCGAGGGGGTTTTATTCCCCTCATCCCGAGTAGCATCTTTGAGCATCCCCAGGATCCTGTGGCACTTGCAGGGGTGGCAAGTGGCCTTGGGCGAGCACGTGGCAGGGACTGTCTTCTTGTAAGCATGGGAAGAGGGGGTGGTAGAATAGATGGGTCCATAAATAAATAAGAAAAGAGACTAAATCGATGGCAATTCAAAAATGACAAAGTTACTTGGCAGCTCCGTTAAATCAAACTAACGAGGAATGTAACAAAAGAGAGATACGGGCAATTAGGATGTAATGAGGACCCAACTAACGCGGCGGCTCAAGAGCATGGAGAACACGAGCAGGATGTGGCCAGCCCAGTGGGAAAGCGGGGATGGAGACCCAAGAAGGGGCTGGATGCTGGAAAAAAAACACCCCGTGGATGGACACAGATGTCCCCAACCCCTGGCTGCGCCGCCTGTGCCCTGCGGTTTATTACAGCTCATTGGGGGTCTCCAGGCTTAAAAATAACACAAACCTAGCCCAGATAAAAGCCTTGGGAGGGCCTGGGAGCCCCACATTCCCGCAGTACCCTCCTCCAGCCCGCGCACCGATACTGACAACACTGCTTAACTTTTTTTCCTTCTTAATGAATGAAATCTTCTTAATAATAATTAAAAAAGAAAACAAGGTCCAGAGGGTCGGCGGTTGGTGGCTGGGGTGGGCAGAGCTGTATGTTTCGGGGCAGCCCCGCTCACCTCCAGCAGCCCAGGCTCTCAGTGCCTGCATTATTCATGGCCCTCGGGCACGGTGATGGGTTGGTGGCTGGGGGGGGCAGAGCTGCATGTTTCGGGGCAGCCCCGCTCACCTCCAGCAGCCCAGGCTCTCAGTGCCTGCATTATTCATGGCCCTCGGGCACGGTGATGGGCAGGGGGATTTGCCAAGCGATGCCATCTTCGCACAAAAATCCATTTAGTCAAAACACTCCTTTAAAGCAAGAAATCAAATCGAGGAGGCGGCAGGGATGGGGAGGGGGCGGCCTCTCTCCCTCCTCCAGCCAGACAGCACAGCATCGCTCCCCGGCTCAGGCCAGGGTCTGACGCTGGGAGAAGGTAGGAGGTGAGGAATGGGGACCCCTTTCCTCCTCTAGCTTTGAGAAAGCGCCAAACTGGAGCCAGAATAGTGGGGAAGCCTCCAGGAGTGGGGCAGCATCCCACACCCAGCTGATGGACACAGCCTGGAGACAGGCACCCGATTCAAGGATGCTCAGACGAGATCCCATGCATGCCATCACCAATGGACGGCAGCACGGGGTGTAGGGCACTTGCAGCAAGAGATCAGCCTTGAAAAACCAACTTCAGCCCATTTCCAAACCTCTCGTGGGCTGGGGCAGCACCCAAGCACCTGGAGCTGCAGCCCCAGGGTCCAGGAGCATCCGGAGCTGCTTTCAGCTCCTGGCCCAAGCCCCTACAGCGGCAGCAGCCCGGTCCCACAGCAGCACGGCCAGCAGCTTTGTGAGAAGGCTGCTGGGAAGAGCCGAGGATGAAATATTCAGCAGCCCGCACCCAGGGAAGCGGAGACCGACAGGGAGAGTGAAATGGTGGGGATGTAATTACGGGAGGTGGCCAAGCGTGCCCGCTGCTGCACTCGCAGCCCTTTCTCTGCCGCCTGCCCTAACGAGTCCGCCCGGTTAATCAGGCAGCGGCCACCCTGTCCCACACAGGCAGGTCTTGGCGCAGACACCCATCAGGGAAAAGAAGGAAAAACTCCTCCCATGTAAAACCGGGACACGCAGCAACGGCAGCTCTGTGAAGGGAAGGGTTTGCCGCAGGGCTCGTCCTCCAGCAAAGCAACATGCCCTCCTGCCAGCAAACCGCTGCCTGCCCCATCCCTGAGCACAGGGCCGTATCCCTCCCGCCGGCATCACCCCCAGCCCGGTGGGATCCCAGCCCGCCCGGCATCCCCTGGCTCTGCCGACCGCTCACCGGGGGCCTCGGGGACTCTCCTCATTAAGGAGGGGTTAACGCGTGTTGTCAAACACAGGTCAGGGTTTAATCTCCGCCATTACGGGCTCGGTGGGAGCGCAGCTGCTCCGGGAAGCGCGACGCTGAAGTGCCCTCTTGATTGCAGGTAGATAATAAGCTTTTTGCTGTCGCTAACGTACACCATCAATCTGCCGGGGCTCCCTGCAGAGCCGCCGGCTGCCAAGCGCTGGGCAAGCACCCGCACGGTGCGGTGGAGATGGGGGGCCCAGCCGTGCCGGGAACTGCGACCTGCACATCCCCCCCACCGCGACGTGCTCCCCGGGCAGCCCTGGGCACCCCGAGGAGGGGATGGGGCTCTGCACAGCTCGGCCGTGGTGGGCTTCTGCAAGCAGCATCTGCACGGCTCCCCACACGTTCCTGGCCTCCCCTTCCTAACCCCAGCCATTTAAATGAGGTTCCCAAGCTCAGAGTCTTAATTGGCGAGCAGCTGGTTGCTCCCCTGCCCTCGGATTCATTATTCATATCACTTCAAAGCCTCCAGGAACCGACTCATTAGAGGAGAAGTCATTAGGGCAAAGCTCCTGTGCCATCACAGGACCAGTGTGCTTTGGTCTAACCGCGGAGCATCGGATGTCCTGCACAGGGTGAGGGTTTGTATCATCCATCCATCCATCCATCCATCCATCCATCCATCCATCCACCCTCAACACTGCAGCAACGAGTGGCTTTCCAGTTTGGGGAAGGATCCCTCCACCCCATGAGTACCTGCGCACAAGCTGGGCTGGGGAGAGCGGTGCGATGGGGACACAGCCCTGTGCCACCACACGAGCCGCGGGAG